CCTTGGCGAGGGTGGGCGACGGCTGTGACTGCGGCCCTGTGCTCGGGAAAGCAGGGCCTGGGACAGGTGCCCGGGGTGCCCAGTTGGCAGGGGCTAGAACTCTCCCTTCATCCATGCCCACGAGCTTCCTGAAGCTACAGGGCCCAGGATGGGGCCCTCAGTGTTCCAATCTGTGGCTCTGAGGCCCATTCGGGCCCTGGCTTCCCCTCTCTGCTTCTTCAGCTGCCTTGGCTGTCAAGTGTTGTGGGAGGAGCCTTGGGGGACGGCGGATCTGCCTGGAAGGGCTGACCAGCAGCCATCTGGCCAGGGTAGCAAGCCCAGATTCTTCATTCTTTCCCCACCAGTGACAGAGAGATGAGCCCCGATGCACTGCTGGCTCCCAGGCCCCCGGTCCCGCTAACATCTGGAAGCCATTGCTTTCACCAAATAAACACCAAGCTTGCTGGATGCAGGCTCTCTTCTCAGAAGGCTCCCTGGGTTCCACTCTGAGCCCTGGGGGCATCGCGGGGGCCAGCAGGCCTTGCCCCCAGGCTTGACCTCAATATGGGCAAGAGGGTCAGCCCATCACCACCCCCCCAGACCTCCCCAGCTCCTGAGTAGTGATGTGCTTACAGGGCAGGCCCCGTGGGCAGGCCGCCTCCTGGCGAGGTCACTGGCATTCTGTCCCATCTCAGCCCTCCCCATGGCTCAGTAGCCTAAACTCCTGGGCCTCTTCCCTAAACAGGACATTCGAGAATGAGCTTAAAATAACAGTTGCAACACGGTAGCGGTGTGACTTGCCTGGGTAATTGTCCACTGTGCTGCCACCGCCCCCTGGCAGCTTTGCTCAGTTATGATTCCCCCCGACCCCTGACAAGGCCTGGCCCCGGGGAAGACTGGTCACAGAGCCGTTCCCGTGCCGGTGGGGGAGTTGCCTCACTGACTTCGCCAGCTTCTGTCCAGCTGGGAGCCCTGGCGGCGGCTTCCTCCCGGCCGCCCCCGCACGGATGAAGAATGTTGGTGAAGACAGGTGGGACCTTTTCAAGAGAAACATTACTTCGAAGGCAAAACAAAAGATGGCGTAGCTCCAGACCTGGAAACAGATGCTTTTCCAGAAAACCGCATTCTTAGCCCGTGTTAACTTAAATCTGGCTATAAAGTCTAGGCACACAGGTTCTAGCTCAGTCTAAACAAATCATATACATTTTCTAAACCTTGGGCAATTCTTCCAATTCCGTGCCTTTCCTTGGGAGATCGATGGGAGGCAGAGCTAAAGGAGAATGATTCAGAGCAAGCATGGCCAACAGATAGCATGCGAGACACCACTTCTAATGTCATATCCATGGCAGACATTGCTAATCAATCACAGAGCTGTTTAAAATTGAGGCAGGATGTGGCTTCTTATTTCTTCTTCTAACAGTATTCCAGGAAGCTGATTCCTGTTGATTAGAGTTGCCAAGCAACAGGCTACCACTATGGTTGCTCAGATATATAGAAACAGGGTGGGGCAAAAGTAGGTTTACAGTTGTTGGTATGGAAAATAATACAATGTGTATTCTTTATAAGTGACTTTTACTTTAATAAATTACTACGAAGCCCTGCCTGTTGTGGTTCAGTTGGTTGGGCATTGTCCTGTGCACAGAAGAGTTGCTGGTTTGGTTCCCAGTCAGGGTACATGCTCAGGTTTGGGGCTTGATCCCTGGTAAGGGGCAGCCGATCGATATTTCTCTCTCCCTCTCCCTTTACCTTTAAAAATCAAAAACTAGCCGGTTTGGCTCAGTGGATAGAGTGTTGGCCTGTGGACTGAAGTGTCCCAGGTTCGATTCTGGTCAAGGGCACATGCCTGGGTTTTGGGCTCAGTCCAATGTGCAGGAGACAGCCAATCAATGATTCCCTCTCATCAGTGATGTTTCTATCTCTCTCTTCCTCTCCCTTCCTCTCCGAGATAAATAAAAATATATATTTTTAAAAATCAATAAAAAGTCTTTAAAAATTACTGTGAAAAATGTCAAAGATATAGAAAAATAAAAAGAACTTAGGTACCAGCTAGATCCAGCAATTAACATTTTAGCTCCACCTGCTTCATTTCGCTGTATACTTTTTGCTGAATGATGACACCTTATCCATAAATAATTCAGCATGGATTTTTTAAAAATAGTCTACAATATTATCGAATTAAGTGTACTTTGCTAGTATCATCTGATGTTGAGTCCACATTCAAATTTTCCTCAGAATGTCTTTTTGTTGTTGTTGTTAATCTTCACTCGATATTTTCCCATTGATTTAGGGAGAGTGGAAGAGAGAGGGAAAGTCAGAGAGAAACATCGATGTGAGAGAAACACATCGATTGCTTGCCTCCTGCACGCGCCCTGACCAGGGCTCAGGCTGGGGAGGAGCCTGCCACCGAGGTACGTGCCCTTGACCGGAATCGAACCCGGGACCCTGTGGTCTACAGGCCGATGCTCTGCCCACTGAGCCAAACCGGCTAGGGCCCTCAGAATGTCTTTATAACCGTTTTTGCCCGATGGGACTTCATCACAGGCGGTGCATGTCGTCTGGTTGTCCTGGCTATGGAGCCCTCTTACATCTGGAGCAGGCCACCCTCTGTACATGCCACCGGCTTGTCGACGAGGCACCGCCTTCATAATGTCCCGTGTTCCGGATCCAGCTGATGGCTTCCTTATGGCGTGAACTGTGTCTCCTATATTTCCCCTGAACTGGGGGTTAGCGCTACACGCCTGTCTAGATGGAGGCCAGCAGGTTTGGCAGGAATAGTTCATAGCTGGTGCTGTGTGTATTCTCTATTACATCACACCAGCAGGCGAATAATGTCTGACTGTCCCACTCTTCCTGGAGAGAAGCGTGATTACTGGGTCGGGGTGTCGACAGCCAGCTCTCCGCATCGGGAGGCCATGCGTGTCCCGTGTGACTCGGGTGGCCTGTGGGGTAACGCTGGGGCTGCATGCGACGTCCAGCTCCCCATCGCCCTTTCATCTGCGGTGTGAGCATCCACCGAGCATGCGCGCCCGGAACACTTATTTCACGAGGGGCTGCACACGATGATTTCCTAGTTGCATCATTCCTTCCGCGTTTACCAGCGGGCGCTCTTCCAGGAAGGAGGGCTTTTGCTCATGGGAAGGAAGGGTTCGGTTTGTCCGAAGCCCAGTTCTGATCAGAAGGGCAGGGATCACCCTTAGTTCTTTCTCTTTAATGAAGAAGTCGCCTTCATTGGTGACAAGTGAGGTTTTACTGTTTTGAATTTTGCACTTCTTTCTGGAGTATTATTATGGGCATGTGGGTTACATAATGCAGTGTGTTTTGATTGATTACTGTTACTCTATTTGGGGCTCAGATTTTTCTAAATTTAGCCAATGGGGCTTCTGCAAGCTGGTGGCCGTGTCCTCTGGCTGTGTCCCCGTTCGTCTTCGAGGACTTCCTCGCTTTATGGAGTTATCGGCTGCCTCAGGTTTGCATTGTACATTGCCTGCCCCGGATTCAGAACCAGACATCTCTCCAAGGAACCCTAATTCAGAATGGTATTAGGTTCTAATTCACTCTGAGTGGATTTAATGTATATATATATATAAATTATTTCAGAAAGGAAGGGAGAGGGAGAGAGAGATAGAAACATCAATGATGAGAGAGAATCACTGATCGGCTGCCTCCTGCGCACGCTGGGGATTGAGCCTGTAACTGGGGCATGTGCCCTTGACCGGAATCAGACCCGGAACCCTTCAGTCCGCAGGCTAGTGCTCTATCCACTGAGCCAAACCGGCTAGGGCTGGAGTGGATTTATAGAGAATTAGGCACCTGCAGTTCTCTGTGACACTTGGCTGTAAGAGAAAGTCTGGGCTCAGAAAACATTAACCTCCTCAGCGCTGTGCTTTACCCTACAAGTCCCACAGACCAGCCTCGCAGTCACAGTGTGAGAGGCTGGCAGCTGAAAGCCGCTCCGCGAACGTTTCTTTGCCGGTCCCTTTGTCCTCAGTGTGCCTCCCACTGAGCACAAGTTCAACCCCTGGGTTTTCAACTCACTGGAGGTTAATTTTTTCTCTCTGTGGTCATGGCACCCATCTCTCATCCAGGCAGGGGCGTGTGCCCTGTGTTTCAGTTTCAGGGTTTGCACAGGATGCTTCCTGACTTGGAGGGGAAGGAGAGGTTCCGACGGGAGGGGCTGCCCCTCTCCCTCTTTCCTGGTTTTCTGGCTGGGACCTGGGAGGCTTGGCTGCTGCAAGGAGGAGGTGTGAGCTGGGAGTGGGTGCTGGTGGAATTGAGGGAGCCGTCTGCATCCACAGGGTGAACCCGGGATGGGGGATGGGGGGTGTGGTCTGAGGCCCCTAGGGGGGTGATGGTGAACTACGTTGGTCTGGGGTAGTGGTTCTCAACCTTCCTAATGCTATGACCCTTTAATACAGTTCCTCATGTTGTGGTGACCCCCAATTTCATTGTTACAAATTGAACATAATTAAAGCATAGTGATTAATCACAAAACAATATGTAATTATAGATGTGTTTTCCGATGGTCTTAGGCGACCCCTGTGAAAGGGTCGTTCGACCCCCAAAGGGGTCGCGGCCCACAGGTTGAGAACCGCTGGTCTGGAGCAAGATTCCAGATCTCCAGGGTTCATCTGTGTGTAGGAGGCATCAGGAGGGCTGCCTGGAGGAGGTGATGGGGGCCATGGAAGTTGGCCAGGTGAAGGAGGGAAGAGTCTTCCCAGCAGAAGGGCACTCCTTGCTCCTTCCGTCCGAGCTGAGTCCTCTGGATGCCTCAGTTCAGGTGTCACAGCTCTGAGCCCACAGGCTGGGGATGTGGGTAATGCCCTGTGAATTGGGGCTGGTGGGGCTCAGGGGGGTGTGGGGTGCCCTCCAGATGACCTGGAAAGCCTGTATGCTGCCCGAAACCCATGGGGGAAGCCAGGTTCTGCACACAGCTGGCAGCCTGTTAAGGACCCATCATCAGTGGGCCAGGCACACGTAAGACAAGGTAACATGTTGGCGTCAGCTTCTCACACCTGCCTCCCAGGTGCTGAAGTGGGTGGAGTCAGCCATCCAGGCGTCCAAGGTACACCTGCTGTCCACGGACCACGAGGAACAGGGCGAGCACACGTGGAGGATCCCCTTCGACCCCAGCCTGAAGGAGGTCACCATCTCCCTGAGCGGCCCGGGCCCCGAGATCGAAGTCCGAGACCCGCTGGGTATGTGCGCCCCTCCTCTTTGGCCCCAGGATTGAGCTGGGAGTCAGGATGGGACAACGAGAGAGACCTGTGGTGGCTCCTGGACACAAGGCTCCGGGAGCAAGGAGGGTGGGGGGTGCCAGGTGGGGGCAGAGAGGGTCCTGTGGTGGGTGAGGAAGCAGGAGGCCGGGAGAAGCCAGGTGAGGGGAATTAAGATGAAGACAGTCCTGGGATGGGAGGCTCCCACGGAGTCCTTCCCCACGCGCTCTAGTGGTCCCCACAGTAGCCTGGCGGGTCAGTGAGGGCACGAATTAGTGGCACGCAGTACAGATGGGAAGCTGGGGTTCAGGGAGGTGGTGTGGACCTGGCCACCTGGCTCCCCGGTGCTCCGAGGATGTCATGAGAACCTCAGGCTATAGGCCAGGAGTGCATCCCACACCTGGGGAGGGGAAGGGGGCGTGCAGAATGAGGGGGAGGCCCCAGCACTGCCAAAGGCCTCTCGTCAGTTTCTCTGGGAAGATGAGGCTGGTGTTTGGAGAGCCACGGGTTCCTGGGGATAGGGTGGGCCTCTGTCACCCCCCCGGGAAAGTGTTGAGGCCTGAGAGTCACTGGGGCTTCCACAGGGAGGATCCTGCAGAAGGACGAGGGCCTCAACGTGCTTCTCAACATCCCTGACTCGGCCAAGGTGGTGGCCTTTAAGCCGGAGCATCCTGGGCTCTGGTCCATCAAGGTAGGGGGCACTGGGTTCCCGGGCTGTGGGGAGCCCAAGCCGCATGGAGTTGAGACACCATCTCCTTCCTATCTGGCCTGGGGAGCCTGGGGTCCTGGGAAGCTGAGGGCTGGAGCTTGGGTAGTGATGTGGGCATATCAATAGAAGTAAAGGGTCAAAAACAGAGGAGGGGTATTCTGCTTTGCAGCCGTGAGAGGAAGTGGAGTGGTTGGGTTAGTTAGGGGATGTTTATGAAGGACTTGGAGAAATGACTTGAGCGTCCTGAGATGGGTAACAGAGCCCTGTCCAGGGAGAAGGCACAAAAGAAGCAAGGGTGACCTCGGGGGAAGGCTTCGAGGAACAGTCCTGGCGGGGCGGGTCGGCACTCCTGGAGCTGGGGTGTGGGGGTCGAGGGCCCCGGTGACGTGGGCCTGGGCTTGTGCTAGGTCTACAGCAGCGGCCGCCATTCGGTGAGGATCACGGGCATCAGCAACATCAACTTCCGCGCCGGCTTCTCCACTCAGCCCTCTCTGGACCTCAACCACACCATCGAGTGGCCCCTGCAAGGTACATGCTCTTGGAGCTGGCTTCTGAGGGGTGGGGCTTGCCCATGGGAAACAGTGGGAGCGCTGGGGGCCGACCGTGAGTGAGCGGCTGTGGAACAGGTGGCCCAGGCTGGGTTCCCACACCCGGGGCCAGGCCCCAGCCCAGGTGACATAGTGGCCATTTCCCTTTAGAACAGTGGTTCTCCACCGTCTGGCCCTTTAAATACAGTTCCTCATGTTGGGACCCAACCATAAAAATTATTTTCGTTGCTACTTCATAACTGTAATGTTGCTACTGTTATGAATCGTCATGTAAATATCTGAGATGCAGGATGGTCTTAGGCGACCCCTGTGAAAGGGTCGTTCCACCGCCAAAGGGGTCGCGACCCACAGGTTGAGAACCGCTGCTTTAGAACATGCTCCACTACTGAGTTCACACCTTCCCCTTCTTCTGGGTCAAAACTTGTTTACCAAGAGCCTGGCTCCTCCAGTTTCCCGCTTTGACGCTGTGTGGAGTGGAGGCGATGCAGCCTTGGGGGACCACTGGCGGGATGAACAGTGGCATTTCAGGACCATGGACAGGAGCAAGCCCCCCTCCCTCCTTGTCCCACC